AAGATACCTTCCTGACACAATTGATGTTGCTGGTGGAGGGAGGCAGCAAAGATCTACTGGCTGTGAATGTTGAAAGAGTTGTTGAATGGGGCTTATTATGTGGATGGCAGAAAGCAATTATCGTCGACGATATTTGGTGATTAAGACTCAGTAATTTTAAAAGTTGATAATGTAGGCAAGTTTACAAATTTTTTATTTGTATTATAAGTGGATGGGAAGAGTCATTTGTTTACTTTGTATTGTTTCTGTTTATATTTGATGGTTGTATTTCCCCTTCCATTTGTTTCTTCTGGGAAGATAATGGTTATTTTCATTTACTGTAGCTCCTTCAAACTCAACATAAACTTACTTACACGTAGAACTGGGTCATTTTTGTGAAGTCCATGCTTAAAATCTCTGGGAGTTGGCTGTGCTGATACTTGGTAGATATCAGTTTCCAGAAAAACCCACTAAACACTGATCAGTAATTTCTTTAATCATGTAGCTTTGAACCTATGAAGGCCCATGAAATACTAGGTAGTTTTGGATTGAATTTAGACCCATAGGGTGTTTTTAGTGAAGATTATTTACATAACTACATACAATAATCTTTGAGGAATGTTAGCATCCTTCTCTCTAATCTTCTTTTTTGGACCTTCTCATTTTTCTTCATGACATGTGTTATTTTCTTTACATTAAAAACAATGTAATTAATGCATCAAATAAGATAACATTTGTTTCCAAATATGCCTTTATTTTTTGTATTAATTTTAATGTTTCCTTAAATTTATTATCCAAATTTGTTACAACTTTCTTATCACTTTGTCAAAAAAATTAAATAAGAAAAAACATTAGTTTTTTTTTCTTTTTTGAAAGACTCCAACAAATAAGACTTACCTAATTAATGGTTTAAAAAAAATAATCAATAATCAAACTTATTGAATTAATGGTTTGAAGATGCAATCAATGAACTTCCTTTTAAAACAGACTTCCTTAGAATGACATCTTTTGTCTATAGAAAAAAAGGATTTAAGGTCATTATTGTATTTTTTTTAACCAAAAAAAAAAAGTTTTTCCTCTAAAAAAAAAATAGACATTTTCTTTTTAAAAAACATAATTTTTTACATTTGGTAAGAGAGTTGTAAAAAAAAAAATTGGATAAATTGAAGGACAATACATTTAATAAGGGTAAAGTTGGAAAACAAAAGGTGGTTTGTTTGATGTATTAATGTCATTATTTTAAGTGTATGAGAAGTGACACATGTCATGAGGAAAAGAGAGAAGGTCCAAAAGAAAAAGTTGGAAAGAAGGTTACAAAGAGAAGGTTTGAGAGAAGGTTACTAGCATTCCCCATCATTCAATGAAACAATCGCTAACAGTTAGTTCTTTCTCATGTGGAAATTTTTACATTTCTCACTTATTCATGCACACTGCCTTTCCTTAACTGGTCTATCAATTTTCTATTATGTCTAAACTTATTGATGTGTATGAGTTCCTATCGTGTATTGGGGGAACAAACGAAAAGGAAGACAGATTAGTCAATGCAATGAAATAATGTGTGAAATTTCTATTCTTTCTTTATGTAATTTTCATATTAAATGACGAAGAAAATTCTAGAAGAAGACAGATTAGTCAATGAAATAATGTATGGAATTTTCGCTCTTTCTTTTTGTAATTTTCATATTAAATGACTTGGAAAATTCTAGAGGAAGATAGATTAGTGAATGAAATAATGTATGAAATTTCCGCTCTTTCTTTATATAATTTTCATATTAAATGATAAAGAAAATTCTAAAGGTAGACTTATCAGAAAAGGATATACATGTGCTCATAAATGAAAAAGTAAAATACATGCCCTCCTTCTTTGTTCTGAGGAGTGGGACAAAAGTGGGTGTTTATAAGACTTTGAGAAAGGCTTTTACCAATCAATCATTGAAGACTAGAGGAAGACTTTTACCAATCAATCAATGAAGCCTAGAGGAAGACTTAAATACCAATGAACGGCTCCTTTTTTGGTTGGGGGAACGTGTGTGGGGGTGTTAAAACTCATTGGAGAAAGACTAGAGGACTATACCACATCATGTGGTAGATAATGTGTTATTTTGCAACTAACTTTAATAGCTAGTGGACTATACTAGCCACCTACAGCTTTAAGCCTGATCATACAAATAATGCTTGCATCCTCTATTTTACCGTGATTGCTAGCGCAAAGAAAGCCGATGCTTTCATTGCCTCTTCTACCTCCACGTGACATTACTCTGTCGGGCTTTCTCTCATTGCCGAGAATTCCCCATTACTGCCTTCGGTAGGAGTATGGGATGTGTCTCAGTTAGTGTGGTTGATCTTCCTAATTGCCTTAGTTAGCTTTGCCTTACCAACTACCTAATCAGACACAAGGCCCCGCCTCGGAGAGAAAGTTACTAGCATAACTATATAAGACTTTTAACAGTTGTCACATATGATTATGTGTGTTAAACCCCTTTCAACCTTAACCCTAGAATTACACAGAGTAACAAGTATTATTCATTGAATTATCGAAACAGTACAATATTCTCAACAACTCATTCTTGATACAATAATTTGCTAGTAGAACTATATAAGACTTTTAACCGTTGTCACATATGATTATGTGTGTTAAACCCCTTTCAACCTTAACCCTAGAATTACACAGGGTAACAAGTATTATTTATTGAATCATCGAAATAGTACAATATCCTCAACAACTCATTCTTGATATTTTGATTGCATAATATAGCTATAAGCTCTCATTAATCAATTCGGTTAGAAACTAATTTCTTAACTAATCAATTAACAAATTGACTATGTCAGCTCATCACTAATCCAGCTCAGTAATGATGAAGGTTCCTAACAATGTCATCAGCCAACGTGACGTAATGTTATTGATTAAAATATATCAATCTCTACCACCTCATGTAAATCCCACAATCCTCCCATTCAAGGAGGGGGAGAAAGTAGGGGGAATGCTAGCAACCTTCTCTCTAACCATCTTTTTTGGACATTCTCAATTTTCCTCATGACATGTGTCACTTTCCTTACATTAAAAACAATGTAATTAATGCATCAAATAAGATAACATTTGTTTCCAAATTTACCCTTATTTTTTGTATTGATTTTAATGTTTCGTTAAACTTATTATCCAAATTTGTTACAACTTTCTTATCACCTTGTTAAAAAATTAAATAAGAAAAAAATTAGTTTTTCTTATCTTTTTTGAAAGGCTCCAATAAATAAGACTTACCTAATTAATGGTTAGGAAAAAAAAATCAATACTCAAACTTACCGAATTAATGGTTTGAAAATGCAATAAATGAACTTCCTTTTAAAACAGACTTCCTTAGAATGACGTATTTTGTCTGTATAAAAAAAAGATATATCTTTTTTGGATTTTTTAAAGGTCATTGTGTTTTTTTTATAACCAAAAAATAAAAATAAAAATAATTTCCTCTTAAAAAAATAGACATTTTCTTTTAAAAAAACATAATTTTTTTTAGGGAGTTTCACTAAAACACCCAAAATGGGGGTTGAAATTATAAAAAAACCCAAGCACTATTTAAACATATAAACACACCCAAAACCCATCATTACACACACTCAAAACTCATTTATAAACACACCAAAAAAGTTGACTTTGGAGTTGATTTTGGGTGTGTTTCTATGTTTAAATAGTGCTTGGGTTTTTTTATAAATACATGTCTAAGATTGGGTTTATTTATAAATTTGTATTTTTTTTACATATGGTAAGAGAGTTGTAAAAAAAATTGGATAAATTGAAGGACAATATATTTAATAAGAGTAAACTTGGGAAACGAAAGGTGTTTGTTTGATGTATTATTGTCATTATTTTAAGTATATGAGAAGTGACAAATGTTATGAGGAAAATGAAGAATGTCCAAAAGAGAAGATTTGAGAGAATGATACTAGCATTCCCCATAATCTTTTGTCACCATTTAGTAGTAAAAGTAAATTACATGAAATCAAAATGGCTTGTTTTGTTGTGTTGTAACTTGTAAGGCCTCGTATGGTGACTTGGTTTTTAGACTGATTAGAATTGAGTTTATTACTCGTCGTACCCTTCCAAATAAGACTTGTAAAACACAATATATTCAATTTTTGTCAAATTTATTAAGCCTAACCGACCTGTGCTTGGATTTTTTTTAAAATTATTTTATTTCTTTTCTTTTTCTTCCATGCATTTTTTTCCCCGAAAAAAAAAAAAAAACTGAGCAAGTAGCTATTAACACGTAGCTACACTAATATTCCTTCAGAGCGTGACACGTGTACCGCTGATCGCAGATATCTACGCGAAAAAGGGCAAAAGCGCATCATTCTTCAAGCAACCAAACAGACAGTATTTTCTACATCGATCGCTGCACTTCCTCTTCTTCTTCTTCTTCGATCAGTCAGGGTTTTTGAGCACGAAGGTTCCCCTCAAATCTTAACAATGGAGGCCAGCAAGGAACAAGGAGCTGGCTTACTGCACCACATCCTCCCTCCGCGTCTCGAAGACGCAGGCCTCGAAGACTGCGCGCTCCCAGCGGACTCCATCAAAGAAGCCTTCCTTAAAGCCGCCACGGCCGTTAAGTCACGATCCACCTCGATCTTCACCGCCGACGAAGACGAAGAAGCCTTTGAGGATTGCATCAGTGACCCATGGCCTGACCTAAAGGTTCCCGCTGACGAGGTGGTCGGAGCTGGGCCTGAGACTCGGTCGCCGGGACCGTGCGGCGGCGATAAGGTTGGGTCGGTGGAGGTCGGTGGAGATGAAGTGGTGGTGAGCGGTGAGGAGGCGAAAGGGGATAAGGTGATTGTGGGAGGTGAAGATCTGAGAGAGGGTGGTGATAGGGCTTGTGTGGATGGGTTGGCTGGGTTGGAAATTGGAGGGAAGGGGAACAGCAAGGTGAGGAATGGTGATGGTGAAGGACCAATTTTGGTTGGAGGTTATGTTTGAAACCCTAATTACTAGTTTTGTTTGGATTTTTTTTTTGGGGGATTGTGTTAACTTCATGTTGTTTGTGGTTGTATTGTACAGTGTAATGAACTTTTACAAATTGACAATGTGAAGATGAGGTAAAATACACAAGCTTTGTTGCAAGTGGTTTTAAGAAGGTTTGCATTTTATGCATCCATCACCATAACATGCTGCCTGCCTCCACATGAATTGATGCATTCCCAACTATAATAAGAAAATCTTTAGTGTTAATGAACAACTATTTTCTAATTTCATAACAAAAATATGATAATTTCTGTAGGAGAAAAAAAAAAAAAACTTGCATTACAATTTTTTTGATTAATTTAATTGAATGGTGATATAGAGGAGGTGGATGGTGGCCGGCCGGCGCTGTGGTTGACGGCTGCCAGCGGCGGTAGTAGATATGCGAATGGAGATGGGAGTGATTGATTTTGATGAGTTTGTGAAACATATGAAGAACAGCTTTTGCATCCAATTTTTTTTCATGTTTATGTTTGAAACATGCTGAAGCTACTCATTAAAAATTCACAACCGCAGTCCATAACCTTAGCTCTGAATTACAATTTACAACCAGCCCCGGTGTCTATCTTTGGCAACGAAACACAAGTCCTACTAGGAATACGAGTAGGTTTTGGTTACACATTCTTACTATTTTCTTGTTGCTGTGGGGAAAATAGTTTCCCTATTATTGAAGGATTTGTTTTCAATTCTCCATATAATTAAAGAGTTCACTTCTCATCATCAATTACTATGAAAGCATTCTTCTCTGCATAACATAACATCACATTCCATCCATACTTTGTTCTTATTATGTTCTCTGGTTTTGCCTTTTCCTTGTGTTTCCAAATCAAAGTTTGATAAGAATAATTCATTATCAATCATGTCCAGTTTTAAGTCTAATAAGAAGCCCTGTCGTAGGACCCCGGTTGATAGCTTCGGCTGTGGGGGATGGACAAGCCTTCCAGTGCTTGTTTTTTTGATTCTGGATAAGTTATTAGAACCCATTGACCATGTTCGTTTTGCTGCTGTTTGCAAGCATTGTCGTTCTATGTCCGAACTCTATAATCATGCAACGCAACGGTGGCGCAATAAACAACTTCCCCCCATGCTCTTGATCCCAAAGCAGGACGACAACTACCGAAGGGTAGTGTACAGCATTTCTGAAGGAAGAATCTACAACAATATTCGACTGCAAGTGCCTTTTAGCAGGAGGTGTTGTGGCTCTAGCCATGGTTGGTTTGCCACAGTAGATGTTGAGCAAAGACTTCCCGTGGTAGTACTCAGGAACCCTTTCACAAAAGCAAAGCCCATCTTTCTCCCTCCCTTGAGAACCATTATCTCACACGATGACCCCCCTTACCATGAGCATTACGTTCGTAAGGTTATCTTGTCTGCCGATCCCACTATGAATCCGGAAAATTATGTGGTTGTAGCACTTTACGGTCGCTTTTTCATGTTGGCTTTCATCAAGGCAGGCCAAAACAATTGGACTTACCCCATCCCAAATGGTTTATTTGATGATGTTATATTCTATAAAAGCAAAGTGTACGCACTTGAAACCTATGGAGAGATTGAGTCATTGGATGTTTTTAGCAGTGACTCGCCACGGCTAAAGCTACGCACACCTTATAAACCATTCCCATCTTGTAAATTTTTGCATGCATATCTTGTGGAATCAACTAAGGGAGACTTGTTGCATATCCTAAGATTTTATGCGTCAAGTGATGGTCGTTTCAGGTATGATGCTAGGCGGCAGACTACACACTTCATCGTTTACAAGTGGGTGTATGGAGATGGAGGATCTATTGGGCACAAGGTTGAGGTGAAAAGCATTGGAGATGAGGCTTTGTTCGTGGGTGGCAATCACTCAATCTCTGTTTTAGCTTCAAAGTTTCCTGAATGCCAGCCAAATTCCATATATTACACCGATGATTACTTTTCAAATTGGCCAACATTACACAGTGATGAACCATTTGATATGGGCATCTTCAACTTGGAGGATGGAACCATCACACAACATTACTCTCCACACTCCATTTCTCAAAGGGCAATTTGGGTTGTGCCACCGTTTAATGGACTATGATGTATTTTGTTTGCTACTAATTCGTCTTACAATTAATGGCCCGCTTTGATCTAGGTTTTGGCGGAATGCCAAGGCAAATCTTATGTTATTTGCCTTTATTTATATAATTTGCACAATGGTAAATGATTATGAAGTGAAGTAACTCTACTTAAATTTTGAAGTTTTTATCCATAAAGTACTTCCGATGCTACTGAGTGGGTTTTTTTTTTTTTGTTTTTTTTTTATTTTTGTGTGTAGGTAATTTGTGTAATTTCTTTTTCCTTTTAAAAAAGTATTTATTAGTATTTATAGGAATTTTGGTTACACATTCTTATTAGTTCCTTGTAGCTTTGGGAAAATGGTTTCCGTATTCTTATAGGATTTTTTTTAGGTATTGTTAACTGATGCTCCTTATTATTAAGGAGAGAGGAAGGAGAAAAAGGAGTAGAAAATTGATCCTCCATCTTATTAACTAAAAAAAGATGGTTACTGTGCTTCTACATTTGTATTAACCTTTTTTTGGTAGTTTATGTCATTGCGGCTGATGGTCTTGGTGCCTAAATTAGAAAACAATTATCACTTACTCTAAAAAAAAAAAAATCCACGCAATTATCCATGACAAGTAAAATGTTGTAATTGTTTGCAGCAGATTGGCTATATAGAGCTCGTCTGATTCAATATAATGCATTATCTGAAAATCCATTTTCTCCACAAACATTTGCAATTGGTTTTCTTAATCATTTTCTGTAACATATTTAAGTTTCATATGAATCTTTATCTTCTGTATTTTGTTAAGTATATGCGAACCCAGAAGAAAAGTTACTCATTTGACTTGTAATGAGATTAAATATTTTCCCTAGTGCTTCAACACGAATTTCATTATCAATTAGTTCACGCTCAATTGAGATTTGTCGAGTCCAAGCCAGCTCACCAAACATGACCTTAACTCAGGGCTCTATCAATGATGATAGATCTTCCCATTGCTTTCCCACTTGGTCACTCTCTGACCGTTAGATCTTCGGTCAGGTAAACTTGCCACGCTATAAAAACAGCGCTCTTGTGTTGTTAGTTTAACTTCCTGTTTGAAACAAATGCATGATTTTGTAAAAGAAGCCAAAATGAACAAATTTGCCCTGATTTATTTTTGAATTTCCTAAGAAATCATTTACACTTGCATGTCTTTAATTTGAAAGTTGAGAGGTTTTTCTGTCATTTTAAAAAAAGCTTTGGCTTTTTCCAAAAGTGAAATTTTTTTTATGGCTAAAACCTAAATTTACTTTGAAAAACAAATGCATGTATGAATGATTCTCATGACGGGTCTCTACAGACGATGGTAGTGAATTGTTGTTACCGGAGATGAGTAGAGGTATAACATGAGTGATGTAGGATATGGATGAATTGTAAGATTTAGATAAATTAGCGAAAACAAAAACAATGAAAAACAAAAAATAGAACAATAAAAATGCCTTGGCTTCACACCGAGAATTCAAAGTCATTAATAAGTTCTTGTTTTAAATTCAATTCAGTGTCATAAATCAATGTATTAAAGCCATCACAATCCCTTTGAGACGAGTCATTCGAGTAAACCAAAAACAAAAAGTAGAGGTTGATAAAACATTCAAATTACCAAAAAATGTTATTGGTTAACAGAAAAATTAAGAACTGAAATTATTAATTAAATAAAAATAATATGATAAATTCATAATTTTTCATACTAAAAATATTTTAAAATTAAAAACAAAATCATTATCCAATTTATGAAACACAATTTATCCATTTTTAATTCTAAAATAAAATAAAAAAATTCAAAAAACCAATTGCATTTCACCGATTGGTGTTTTAGCGAAGTCAAAAGTAAGTCCTAATCAAAACCCAGAAAAAGTCTCTCTCTGTCTCTCTCTCCTCGTCCGTCTGCCACTTCGCCCTTTGTCCCTGTATAACTTCGTCTCTCTCTCTCTCTCTCTCTCTCTCTCCTCGTAGCTGCTTATTCAGGTACCCACTCCAATTATTATTTTTTTATTTTCAACTAATAGAATGCAACTTTCAAGAATGCGTTCAAGAATTCAAAGAAAAATTCAAGCCCTAAGAGAATCACAATAATTTTTTCAGAAAATTTTCTCTAAGCATTTCGTTATCATCAAGTAAATGTTCATTACTCTCTAATATTCTCTTGTGGTTAGGATTTTGGCTGCGGAAAGGTTATCTGTTCCGACCTTGGGGTTTGAATTCTTGTTTGTATGTTACTTTGCTCACCTTTTGTGTTACAATTTTTGTTATTTGGTTTTAGATATGCTCTTGTTGTTTATATTTGAATGAGCGAGTTCGTTTTTGTAGGATTACCTTGGGCTTTGCATCGCAGTTTTTGTAGAGAAGACGTTTTAATGACCATGGATTCCTCGCGAGGAGAGCCGTAAGTTCTTCATCTCCTCGTCTTTTATTCTAATTTTTGTGAAATATTAATTTTTTTTGTTTGCTTTAATTTTGTTTAGGGAAATGTTTGTGGTTGATTATCCATGTCTATTCTGGTTGATGATGAGATTAAGCTGATTATTTTTTGATTTGATGTGTCCCTGCTTGTTGATTTACTGTGTGTGCATGCAATGTTTATTTTTATATTTTAAAATCAAAGGATAATTTTTCAGTAAAAATCTCTGAAATTAACAGTGTCGATTGACTTGCTGAGAAAGAGGAGAAACCAAAAATAGGAATTATTATCCTCATCACGTGTGCATGCTTTTCTTATCTCTCCTTTTTATGGAATAAATTTTAAGATGATGTTTAATTTTATGTGAAAAATATGTTTTTGGGTCTATTGATCTACTGGAACAGTTTGGAAATGATGCACGTTAACTAATTTGTAAGTTTCTTTCTGTGAATGAAGTTCGGGGCAACCCCAGATGATGGGCGGAGCAGCTGCCCAGAAACTAACAACAAATGATGCCTTAGCGGCATATCAAAAGGCTGTGAAGGATATATTTGAAGACAAGAAGGAAAAATATGAAGAATTTTTTGAAGTCATGAAAGACTTCAAGGCCCAAAGGTTCGATTATGGCATATGCTTTACTTGACTTTGTAAACTTATTTTACTTGATGAAGGGTGGGGTGGACATTTGCTTATATGAGCTTGTGTTGTTCACTTGAGTTTGTGTGTGTTGTGTTAATTGTAGAATTGACACTGTGGATGTGATAGAGAGGGTGAAGGATTTATTTCAAGGGCATCAAAAGCTATTATTAGGTTTCAATACCTTCTTGCCAAAGGGATATGAAATCACCCTCCCACTTGAGGACGAGCAACGGCCTCCTCAAAAGAAGCCTGTAGAATTTGAAGAAGCTATCAGTTTTGTTAACAAGATTAAGGTGGGAATATCTTTTCATAGCTTAATCTCAGGTCACAGGTTTTCTATAAAGTTTTCTAACCTAAAGAATACTCTACCTGCAGACACGATTTGAAGGAGATGACCATGTTTATAAATCTTTTTTAGACATTCTGAATATGCACAGAATGGAAAACAAGTCCATTGCAGAGGTTTACCAGGAGGTGTGTTGGTGCATCTTTCACATACCTTATCCCTTCATTTGGTGCTGTTCATTCATCTCATGTTTAAGAAATTTACTTTGACCTTTTGCAGGTTGCAGCACTTTTCCAAGATAACTCAGACTTACTTGTGGAGTTTACTCATTTCTTACGTGATACTTCAGGAGCAGCCTCCATTCACTATGCTCCATCTCATAAAAACTCAATGCTCAGTGATAGGAGCTCTGCTATGCCTCCTATGCGGCAAATGCATGTTGACAAGGTTTATTTCATTCTCCGTCTCTCATCCTTGCGTAAAATTTTTATGTTTTATTTTTCATTTTAATATCTCGTTGTTGTTAAAGCTAACATCTGGTACATGTGCTTTGTTTCCAGAAAGAAAGGACTATGGGTTCTTATACCGACTACGATGATGACTGTCCTGATCCTGACCGTGATAGAGCTCTGATGAAAGCTGACAAAGAGCAAAGGAGGCGTGGTGAGAAGGAGAAGGAGAGGAAAGAAGACGGAGAAAGAAGAGATCATGAATGGGATGATAGGGATTTTGACCATGATGGCAGTAGGGACTTCAACATGCAACCTTTTCACCACAAATGGCAAGATTCTCATATGACTGAAGACTCAGCTAATGAACAAGTGCATCCAGGTGCTCAAGGCGATGAAAACTTTGCAGAACATTTCATTTCATCCTCTTATGAGGATAGAAATTCTGCCAAAAGTGAGGATTATGATGTTTTTGACCTAAGTTATGTAATAATCAAAACTTATTGTAATCAACTACTTAGTACAGCAAAGCTATCCATCTAGTAAGAAATTTGCTTTATTCCTATGCGTGTATGTGTGTGTGAGAAAGGGGGAGGGGGTGGGTGTGGGAGGAAGTAAGTACTGTCACACCTTGGATAGCCAAAGTCTATTGCACGGGCATAAGTTTAGCGTCAGTATCAAGTATAGTATTGTTTCTACATTTTTTTTTTTGGTTGAGCACTTTATCTGCCTGTTTGTTCTTGTTCCTGCAGTAGCTTCTTTTACTCTTGCATCTCATGGCAGGTATGTACAGCCAGAAGCTTGCTTACTGTGATAAGGTGAAGGAGAAGTTACGAAATCCTGATGATTACGTTGAATTTTTGAAGTACGTCCATTGTTTTAGCAAGGAAATTATTACACGATCCGAATTGCAGTCTTTGGTAAGACATGTGCATGTAATATAGATATATACCGTTATCATCTCCTTACTCATTTAAGGACATTAATCAGAATACAATCTCTAATTTGTAGGTGAGTGATTTACTTGGAAGGTATCCGGATCTTATGGATGCGTTCGACGAATTTTTGGCATGTGAAAAAAAAGGTAATGGTCTAATCTAATTGTTCATTTTACCTGCTCTATATACTGTGATTAACACTATATCTAATTGAGTCCTGTGGCAGATGAGTTCCTTGCTGGTCTCATGAGTAAACGTGCGTAACATAATTTGTTCCCTTTTTGTTTCAATAAGCTAGATCCTCCTCTTAGTTTATCATAAGAGTTCAGGCACTGTCACATGCTTCAACAGAACCCTCTGTTTTTGGTTGTTTCTTAATTTAATTTGAGGGTGACATGCATTTTTAGTTTTGTACTTTGTCTATAAAACTGCAAATCAATTCTTAATTCTTGATTCATCACAGAAGCCTTAAGGAGTGAAGGAAATTTATCCAGATCAGTGAAGGTAGAGGATATGGATAGGGATCATGATTGTGAAAGGGATGATGGGGTTAACAATAGAGAGCGTGGAACTTGGAAAGGGGATACGTTTGAGAAAAATGGTGCCTCTGGCAATAAAGAAGTTGGAGGCCAGAAGATTTCTATATTTTCCAGCAAGGATAAATACTTGGCAAAACCTATTAATGAGCTTGACCTCTCTAACTGTGAGCGCTGCACTCCAACCCATCTCCTCCTCCCAAAGAATGTATGTGATGCTTTCTCAGATAATTCATCTATGTTTACTTTTAAGTAATTTTGGTGCTTTTACAGAAATTTGTATTTATATGTGTCATGCAGTATCCAATACCTTCTGCTAGCCAAAAAACGGAGCTTGTGTCTGAAGTATTGAATGATCCTTTGGCATCTGTCACTTCTGGAAGTGAGGATTACTCTTCTAAACATGTGCGCAAAAACCAGTATGAAGAGAGCCTGTTTCGGTGCAAGGATGACAGGTTGGTCTGAGATTTTCAGTATCTATGTTGGTTTTCCCTTTATCCATTTATTTGTTTCGAAGAGGCATCAACTGAATGTGGCTGTTCTCTGTTTCTTCTTTGCTGCCCGATTGTCTTCATTGTCATTGGCAATTAAGTTTGATGCGGTCATTCTTGCACTTAAATTGGCATGCTTATTTATAAATGCTGAAACCTATGTTTTGTTTCTGACATTTGTTTTCTGGTAGGTAAATAACAAATTTTTTTTTATTTTTTATGTAGAGAAACTTGCGCATGTTGTTTGCATCTACATTTTGCCCTTTACTGCACCCGCTCATCTTGATTTAAACCCGATTAGGTTGCCTGCTCTCTCTATGACTTTTGTAACTGGTTAATTTATCTTATTGTTTGTCTTAGGTTTGACCTGGATATGTTGTTGGATTCCATGAACGTAACGACCAAGTGTGTGGAAGAACTATTAGAAAAGATCAATAACGGTATGATTAAGATGGACAGTCCAATCCGTATTGACGAACACTTGACAGGTTATATTCTTTTTAATGACTGAATTGAGGAATGCCTGTTTATGTAATCTGAGTTCAGTTGTTGATTTTCTTTATATATTGACTGGACATTTCTCTTCTCTCTTCTTTTCTAGCTGTGAATCTGAGGTGCATTGAGCAACTCTGTGGTGACCATGGGCGTGATGTGATGGATTTGTTGAGAAAAAATGGTCCACTAGCTTTGTCTGATATATTAACCTGTTTGAAGCAAAAGCAAGAAGAGTGGGCAAGGTGTCGTTCTGATTCTAATGAAGTTGGGGCTGATATATGTGACAAGAACTATCCCGAGTCACAGGACACAAAGAGCTTAAGCAGAAAAGGTAATCTAAAAACTTCATGTCACAGTTTCCACTGTTATTATGTTTGCTACTTAAAAATCAATGAGATAATATTCTATACTGTTAATCTTCCTTTTTTGGGCAGGCCATGCTATATTTTTTATTAATTAAAGCAGGCTTTCTCTTCCATTTCCTTTTAAACTATTAAGAATGTTCCTTCATGTTTTTTGCAATCGCTCATTTTACTTGTGCGTTATTGCTTGTTTCCACTTTCCTCTCATCTCATGGATGGGAACAAACTTTTGTAGCCTTGCTGACGGAGACTAAAGAGTTCAGTGAGAAGAAGCGGACTGAAAATGGTCAGGAGCAATGATAACTTTGCTTGGGACCTCAGATCAAAGACTCAGGCAGATTGTTTGATGCATACTGTACAGGAAATTGAACTCCATGGCTTTGGCAGAAGCGAAGCTGAGCTGATGCTTATATTAGGGATGTTGGAAAACCCCACTTGGGAGCAATAAACATCAAAGAGGTTTAATAGGTGGCATTGTTTATCCTTATGAGCCTACTTTAGTTCTCATCCTAGTTTGATCGTTCAGCTAGTGTTTGTGTACACACTTGGATTTTCTCAGATGCCGTGTGTCCATTTCTTTTGCAGATTCAGACTATTACTCTACCTCATATATGCTGGTGTATCTTTTATTTCACCAACCCTAGGAAACTTGTGACTACGATGACATAGATTTTCTATTTCCAATGTTTTAATATTGACTTTTTAGTTAGATTTTTAAAAGAATTTTCAGGTGTTTTACCCCCGAACTATGACCCTAATCGAACTCCCCGAACTAAAAAGCCAGCCAATTTGGCCCCTCAATTTATGAAAACAGCCAATTTAGCCATTCCCGTTAAATATTTTTAGTTTCGTCCCCTTTTCTATTTAAAAAGTCACGTGCCCTTTACAGGACTTGTTATTTGATTGATTATTATTAAAAATTAAAATATATAGAAAAAAAAATTGAAGAAAGTGAAAAACGGAAATGGTTCGGTAAAGCACAGATCCTAGGAAGCCATTTCCCTTATCTCTACAATATCACTTATATCAAAATAATGCAAAAAAGTCCCTCCCTGGCATTATCATCATGGGCAGGCAACATGGTTCTGTGGATGCATGTCACGTTTTCTCTACATAACTTTTTCATGTTTATGTTTGAAACTGACTGTATGTGTCTTTGGCAACGACACACAAGACCAAACAGAACTTATAAGCAAAGACGGAGACCTTTATACCCCAACCCACATAGCATTCTTCTCTGCATAACAAAGCATTACATTCCATCCATACTTTGTTCTTATTATATTCTCTGGTTTTGCCTTTTCCTTGTGTTTCAAAATTAAAGTTTGATAAGAACAATTCATTATCAATCATGTCCAGTTCTTTTAAGTCTAATAAGAAGCCCTGTCGTAGGAACCCCGGTTGTTAGCTTCAGTTGTGTGGGATGGACAAGCCTTCCAATGCTCGTCTTTTTTTATTCTGGATAAGTTATTAGAACCAATTGACCATGTTCATTTGCTGCTGTTTGCAAGCAATGTCGTTTATAATCATGCAACGCAATGGTGGGGCAATAAACAACTCCCCCCATACTCTTGATCCCGAAGCAGGACGACAACCATAGAAGGGTAGTGTACAACATTTCTGAAGGAAGAATCTACAACAATATTCGACTGCAAGTGCCTTTTAGCAGGAGGTGTTGTGGCTCTAGCCATGGTTGGTTTGCCACAGTAGATGTTGAGCAAAGACTTCCCGTGTTCACAAAAGCAAAGCCCATCTTTCTCCCTCCCTTGAAAACCATTATCTCACACGATGACCCCTCCTACCATGAGCATTACGTTCGTAAGGTTATCTTGTCTGCCGATCCCACTATGAATCCGGAGAATTATGTGGTTGTAGCACTTTACGGTCGCTTTTTCATGTTGGCTTTCATCAAGGCAGGCCAGAACAATTGGACTTACCCCATCCCAACTGGTGAATTTGATGATGTTATATTCTATAAAAGCAAAGTGTATGCACTTGAAACCTATGGAGAGATTGAGTCATTGGATGTTTTTAGCAGTGACTCGCCACGGCTAAAGCTATGCACACCTTATAAACCATTCCCATCTTGTAAATTTTTGCATGCATATCTTGTGGAATCAACTAAGGGAGACTTGTTGCATATCCTAAGATTTTATGCGTCAAGTGACGGTCATTTCAGGTATGATGCTAGGCAGCAGACTACACACTTCATCGTTTACAAGTGGGTGTATGAAGATGGAGGATCTATTGGGCACAAGGTTGAGGTGAAAAGCATTGGAGATGAGGCTCTGTTCGTGGGTGGCAATCACTCAATCTCTGTTTTAGCTTCAAAGTTTCCTGAATGCCAATTAAATTCTATATATTACACCGATGATTACTTTTCAAATTGGCCAACATTACACAGTGATGAACCATTTGATATGGGTATCTTCAACTTGGAGGACGGAACCATCACACAACATTACTCTCCACACTCCAATTCTCAAAGAGCAATTTGGGTTGTGCCACTGTTTAATGGACTATGATGTATTTTGTTTGCTACTAATTCGTCTTACAATTAACGGCCCGCTTTGATCTAGGTTTTGGCGGAATGCCAAAAAATGCATTTATTTAATTCAAACATTAAAAATTGAAATTATTAATTAAATGAGGATAATATAGTAAATTCATATTTTTTTCAAATTAAAACAAAATTAGATAATAGGTCATATTTTTATGGAACACAACTACCAATTATTTTTTTAATTCTAAAATGAAATTTATATATATTTTAAAAATAAAATTTTTTTTAAAAAAAAAAAAAGCCTCTCGCAAGTGCGGAAGTGGGTGCGGAGAGGCTAGTTAGTGTTTATAGGAATTTTGGCTACACATTCTTATTAGTTCCTTGTTGCTCTAGGAAAATGGTTTCCGTATTCTTATAGGATTTGTTCTAGGTATTTTTAACTGATGCTCCTTATTATTAACGAGAGAGGAAGGAAAAAAAGGAGTAAAAAACTTATCCTCCATCTTATCAACAGATAAAAAGTAGTTACTGTGCTTCTACATTTGTATTAACCTTTTATTTGGTAGTTTATGTCCTTGCGGCTGATGGTCTTGGTGCCTAAATTACCAAACAATTATCGGTTACTCTAAAAAAAAATCCACTCAATTATCCATGACAAGTAAAATGTTGTAATTTTTTACAGTAGACTGGCTATATTGAGCTCGTCTGATTCAATATAATGCATTATCTGAAAATCCATTTTCTCCACAAACATTTGCAATTGGTTTTCTTAATCATTTTCTGTAACATATTTAAGTTTCATATGAATCTTTTTCTTCTCTATTTTTATAAGTTTATGCGAACCCAGAAGAAAAGTTACTCATTTGACTTGTAAAAACTTTGAAGCTTCAACACGAATTTCATTATCAATTAGTTCATGCTCAATTGAGATTTGTTGAGTCCAAGCCTGGCTTTCTCACCAAACAGGGCCTTAGTGTTTTTACATCTGTGAGCAACTCGGGGCCCTATCAATGACGATAAATCTTCCCCTGGCTTTCTCACTTGGCCACTCTCTTACCGTTAGATCTTCAGTCAGGTAAACTCGCCACGCCATAAAGGCACCTCTCTTGTGTAGTTTAACTTCCTGTTTGAAACAAATGCATGTATGAATGATTCTCATGATGGGTCTCTATAGACGATGGTAGTGAATTGTTGTCACCGGAGATGAGTAGAGGTATAACATGAATGATGTAGGATACTGGTGAATTGTAAGATTTAAGTAAATTATCGAAAACAAAAATAATGAAAAACAAAAAATAGAAGAATAAAAATGCCTTGGATTTTGGTGGTGTTGGCAGGTTTTTGTATTAGATAGGATCTTATATTCATGGAGATTCTAATTCATCAAAGATTTGATGAAATAATGCAAAAACTTCTCCCAAGGACTAGTAGTTTAAGTGGTTAAAGGTATTTTACCTCGCACTCTGGATCCTAAGTTCGATTCTCTCCTCCCGCAATATCGCTTGTATCAAAATAATGCAAAAACTTCTCTCCCGCACATTATCATCATGGGCAACATGTTATGGTGGATGCTTACAATGTTTTGTGTGTGTGTGTGTGTGTGTAAAGAGATATGTGTATGTCAACCCTTTGTTTCTGTACCTCGTTCTGTCGGTTGCTTAATTTTGCCGGAACCCATGATAAACAAATCATTGCAGCTCAATTTCCTGTCATTTAATTTGATTCAATCACTTGCTGATGATAGTGCTATATTTTTTTTTTTTTATGGAGATCGGCCATGGTTTGATCCAAAAGTCAAGTTTCCCTGCTCACAACTTGATGGACCAGTGCAGTTCATGAATCTATTCGCTTTATTAATTGGTTGGTTATGTTGAGAAATAACCATCACACCCAATTATTATTAGAGATATTTAGTGATATACCCATTCTTAATACTAATATTATAAATAAACCATACACAATTGAATTTCTATAAACATACCAAAAAAAAAAACACCCAAAAAATGACAGCTGGCCTTATTAAATTTAATATTGATTATTAAATTACTTTGATGTCCTATTGAGTGTTTTGGGTATTTTTATGAGATTTTAGGGTTGGACTTATTTTAAGAAATTGATGACAGTTTTGTAATTTATAAAAAGTTAAAAGCTTTTTTATTATGTTGTAAATGAGATTTGGGTGTGTTTCTAAAGTCCATTTCATATGTGGTATTTTTATAATTTGGGCCTTTATATTGGGTATAATAGTAAATCTCCCTTATTATTATTATTTTTTAAATTTTAATACAAGTAATAATTTATTTTAATTTAATTTAATTTAATTTATAAATAAGAAAACTTGAATTTGAGTGCAAAATGACGTACTCACTGTACCCGCAACTAGTGTAACCCACGTTTGTGCATCATATCCAGATATCTTAGCTTTCCATAAAGAAAAGAAAAAGAAAAAGGCAAGTGTTGGTCAACATCTTGCCAAAATCATATGTACATCTAAAACCCGTTTACGTCAATCTATATCTCTTGAGTCATGTATTAGCGAAACACTTTTTGACTTTTTAAACAAAGACATAATTTACTCCAGTGGATGATACTTTCAGGACCCAATAAAGCACAAAATGTCTGCCATATATGAAAAACTAATTTTAGATTATAGAGGATAAAATCCTAGGAATGATTGGAATGATTTACTAAACATTTCCCAGTGGACGAAAGCTATTTTATTTATAATTTTTTTATTTAAACCCCGCACTTCTATTTGTTCATCCTATATTCTAAGTTTATCAATTTTTAATTCAAATTTTCATAATTTCTAAGATAATCTCACCATCTTCTCAAACTGCCAGAAAATACACACCCAATAGAAAAAATAAAAAAAATGAAAAATTCATCAACCTCACTCCTCACTATCTTGCTCCTCATCACTCTAAGTTCACCTCAACCTCACATTACTTGAAGAGATAAAAATAATGTTGTCAACTGTGTAGCAACATTATTTTATTATTATTTTATTATTTAAGGTTTGTGAAGAGAAAATGAGAGTGTAGTAGGTTTATTACATTAAAAGAGAAGAATAATTTGACAATAAGGTGTAAATGAGTTTGTGTTTTTCTAAAATTTAATATGAAGAGTGGTGAGATGTGTGGGGGTGTATGCATATATGTATAGGGTTAAGTATTAAGTTGGATGACTCTTTTTTGTCTTTTTACACAATAATAAAATTTAAAAGCTTAATGATTGAAGTATTTAAGTATTTAAGTGAACAAAAAAAAAGTGTAGGGTTTAAATAAAAAATTATTTACTTATTATTGTCTGCAAGAGAAGCGGGCTCATGGTTTGAATGGGAATATTTTGAAGAAGCAAACAAAAGCTTCGTGAGATTTCCATTCCATTCCACCTTATATAGGAGAGAGAGAGAAAACGGAAGAGAGAGCCAGTGAGAGAAAGGCAGCAAGAGACGGTGAAGACAGATTTTGGACGAGAGAGAGAGAGAGAGAGGTAGAAAAAGACAGTCAAGACAGATTTTGGACGACAGAGAGAGAGAGAGGGAGGCAGAGTGTGACAAAAACAGAGCTCCTTTCTGAAAGCTTCTTGGTTCTTTTTGGCAAGAAGTTTCTTAGTACTTTCATGTCCAGGTGATACGCAGTTCTCTATAGCTTTAAATTTAAAGTCACCGTCTTTATACAAATATAGAAAGCAAAGCTCACTCTACTTCTAGGTTTTGGCTAGCAACTCCATTTCCAGCTTAGAGAGTGAGGGACAGCAGCAACAAATAGGAACTGTGTTTTTACAGAGCTTTTGGTTTAAGGAAGTTTGATATTCTGTAGGTTGGAGATATTAGATGGCTCAAGTTGGATTAGAATGGTGGAGTCTTAGGAGGAGGGCTGCAATGGTTGTGATTGGTTTTCTTCTAGCAGCTTCAGTAGTTGCTTCAGCACAAGAAACTTCGGAACAAGATGCTTCAAGTTACAGTGGGAGTGATAAGTTTCAACCCGATTATTTCGACAGAGTGTTGAACTTTCTTTGGCAGCCGGGTCGATTGGGTTATGAGCATGTTTGGCCTGTAAGTCTTAACTTTAATTACCTTCTTGATGAGTTTTTCCTTCATGATATTTCTGATATGTCATTCCCATATTTTTCCTTCTAACAAGAGCAGATTGCAACCTGAATTGCTTAGAAAATTGAATAGTTTGATCCTTTGATTGATTGTGGAACCATGGAAGTACAGATGTGCATGCTAGAACACCCTTTGTTTATTGTTTTAAAATGGTTCAACAAGACTTAAACTTTTGGCCGGTAACTGCTCAAAACTTGTCCAACTTATGATGTGGCAAAATCGGATATGCAGGAACTGAAATTCGACTGGAAAATTGTTGTCTGTACAGTAATTGGATTCATCGGTGCTGCTTTTGGGACTGTTGGTGGAGTTGGTGGAGGTGGCATTTTTGTTCCAATGCTCACTTTGATTATAGGATTTGATGAGAAATCTTCAACGGCAATATCGAAGTGTAAGTCATAGCTTGGTGTAGGATAATTGGCCACCACACTTGATTTAGTATATAGTTTGGGCTATTTGGCCCTTCACTTAGATTGGTGAGCTTATTGGCTCCTCAACATAGCTTTGTTTGGGTAGCTCTTGGCTCCATTAGTTTGGGAGTTCTCTTTGTTAGACTCCACCTTGCTTCGTTGCACTGCATGCCTATTTATAGGCATTCTTTGCCGACATCACCAAGTCCACCGACTTGGCTTCTTTACTCCAGCCACAAGTGTGTGGCTTCATCTACAATATTCTATATTGTACAATATTAATTTTGTGGCTATTGTTTAGCCATCATACTCCACCGCCATAGTCTAGCAACATGAGTGTTCTTGCTCTAGAGAGTTCTTCCAACTTCAATTCTCTTTGTCTAGCCGACATAGTATGTTCTCCACAACTCTAGAACCATCCTTGTATTCATGATTCTTCTAGAACTGTGTAGAACACAAATGGACATTATTTTTCGACATTTGATTATGCCCCCCTAAGATCATCTCGGTAATTTAGAAACTGTATGCTATTTGAATGTTGATGCAATATTGAAATGAAACCTATTGGCCCCTCAACTGCTGTTTATAGAAATAAACATGATGAATTTATACTTTTGGTTCTGTTTTTCTCCATGGAGGATGTAACCGATCGCAATTTGAGATGCTTAATTTCAATTAGGTCCTTTGCTTTCCACCAAATGATGTGTGTGCCATTGCCATTGAAGAACAAAAATTATAAATAAGTTCATCATTCTAGCTTTTCACTTTGCAAATGTTAGCGTTTTCTGATGTGTGTGAGTGAGAGTGACGAAGGGAGAGAGGAAGGAAGAAAAGAAAAATGGCTACTGCTCTGCTTTCTTGGAGCAGAGGAATGTTTTCTTCTATTCCATTACAACCTCAAGCACTTGGAGTGTGGAATATAACCGTTAGGCATCTGTAGCTGGATACCTTACATCACAAGGTGATCTCAGCCATTCATTTAGTTATCCAATAGGATCTTTACACTTGGCTATAAAATTAAGAAAACAAAAATGCTGTTTTAACTAACTCTTAACTCAGCTTAAGAGCTTATAATTCAACAGCAAACACACCTGAAAGCAGTTTGGCATGGTTCTCTCTGGTTGGACAGGTATGATCACTGGTGGAGCAGCTGCAAGTGTTTTCTACAATTTAAGGCTGAGGCATCCGACACTTGATCTGCCGATCATCGACTATGACCTAGCACTTCTTTTGCAACCAATGCTTATGCTTGGGATCAGTATTGGAGTTTCTTTCAATGTTATCTTTGCTGACTGGATGATCACAGTGTTGCTAATTATTTTTTTCTTAGGTAAGAATTATATGATTTCTCGTTCCATTTTAGGCAACTCGTTCAAGTCGTATTCTGATGACCTCCTGCAGGCACATCAACGAAGGCATTCTTGAAGGGTGTTGAGGCATGGAACAGAGAAACTGTAATGAAACAGGTTGTCTCAAAATTTAGTCATTGGATTTATTTGTATATGTGGCTTCACTTAATCAAACTCTGCATTTCAGTTGACTAGTTTTTGAATTTTCAGGAGTTTGCCAGACTAATGCAGTCAGATGGTGAGTTTATCTATCATTCTGTCTTTGCTAGCAATGTTCCTTCACCTATCCAAATTTGGGCGTCGAAACGAGGATTCGTTTCCAGTCTAATATTTAAGTATCTTTGATTCAGGTAATTCTAGTGACGAAGTTGAATACAGACGTCTAGCTAGCGGCCCAAACAATGTCATTCTATTAGGCACCAAGGAATCTAAAAGAACAGAGGTATAATTTTTGCAGCCTGAATGTCCTTCCTTAGACACATGATTTTGGAGACTTGACTTCTATAACCATCTCAGGTTTCTATTATTGAGAATGTTTACTGGAAGGAATTACTTCTTCTTGTTGCTGTCTGGGTCATAATACTTGCGTTGCAGATTGCTAAGGTCTTTTTCCATTTCTATGTGGTTCATTTCCCTTTGCTTGCATGCATTGAAAACTGAGCTTGAAAACTTGTTTGTCGTGCACAGAATTACACCACAACTTGTTCAGCAGAATATTGGGTATTAAATCTCTTGCAGGTACCTTCCATGTCTTTTACAAGGAAAAACACTTATATTTTCCATTTGTTGCATAAGAAAATACAGTCCCCATTATGAGCTTGAATTATCGAGTCGTCGTTCAGTAGTTTTTTAATTTATATTTTAGATCCCTGTGGCTTTCGGAGTATCTACGTATGAGGCAGTTAACCTGTACAAGGGGCGCAGAGTGATTGCATCCAAGGAAGAATCAGTCACAGACTGGAAAGTGCACCAGCTTGTTCTGTATTGTGCCTGTGGCATCATAGCTGGTATAGTTGGCGGATTGCTTGGTCTTGGTGGAGGGTTCATTCTGGGACCTCTCTTTCTTGAGCTGGGAATCCCACCTCAGGTGTACTGACATTTCTTTAATTTCCTCATATAATTCTAGCATTCAATCCCAGTAAGAAACAGGTCCCACCTTTCTCTTATAAGTTAAAAACAGCTCAAAATTAGGTACACACTTTCCCACTACACTGTCTTCACAACTTCACTCAAGTGATAAGTCATGAGTGTTCCTATCTGTTAGAGATAAGTGGTCCTAAAATCATTTAAGAGACGACGGCCCTTATTTTCTAGAGATATTTAGTCATATACCCATTTTGAGCACTAAAACTATAAATAAACCCTACACTATTTAATTTTTATAAACAAACTCAAAAAATGACAACTGGTCCTATTGAATTTAATTTTGATTATAAAATTACATTGATGCCCTATTGAGTGTTTTGAGCTTTTTTATGAGGTTCTTGGGTTGAGTTTGTTTTAAGAAATCAATGACAGTTTTGTAATTTAAAAGAAGTTAAAAAGTCTTTTTGTTATGTTGTAAATAGGCTTTGGGTGTGTTTCTAAAGTCCATTTCATATATGGTTTTTATTTTATTTTATAATTTGAGCTCCTATATTGGATATAATAGTGAATCTCCCTATTTTCTAATGATATTGTTTCCATCCTGACTCAATGGTTGAGAATTGTCGTGCAGGTATCTAGTGCAACTGCCACATTTGCAATGACGTTCTCTGCATCCATGTCCGTTGTTGAGTACTACCTACTCAAACGTTTTCCGGTCCCTTACGGTAACTTCTCTCATCCATTCAAGTTTCTGTTGATAAAACGTTGAATGGTAGGAATACAAGGTTTTCTTTGGCATTCAATAATTTGATGTCCCGGCCTCTGGTCATTGTCAATTTATTTTTTGCAGCTGTCTACTTTGCTGTTATGTCCAGCCTGTCTGCCCTTGTAGGCCAACATGTAGTGAGAAGGGTGATCAGTGTATTAGGCAGAGCATCTATAATTATCTTCATTCTGGCCTCCACAATCTTTGTGAGTGCAATATCACTAGGTATGTGAATATTTTTGATTGATTTGCAGAAGAGATTACCTTGTATTTGTCATGTCCCAATGATTTTGATTCTGGTTTCTTTTCAATGGATGCTTAATATTTTGTTTTTAACAGGTGGGGTTGGCATAGCAGCTATGATTGGAAAGATTGAGCGCAAAGAATATATGGGATTTGAAAACATCTGCACTTAGCAGGGCTAGTTTTAGTGACTTCTGTCTTCACTTCCCCAATCTCAAGCTTTCTGGACCTACGAATTGGCTGGTCCTATTAAGTTATCTCCAACTCTCTTTCCGGGAACAAAAGCATGTGTTGACCTGTATTTGTTTTTGTTTTTTTTTTCCAATATTATATAATCCAATGGGAAGGAAGGAGGTGTTGATAATTCATTAAGTTATGGTCTATGATATGAATTAGATGTAAAGGAGGTGGGCATTGTGGTGTTAACAACTCTTTGACACTACAACCTTTATACCCAGGTTTAGGTTTAGGTTTGGGTTCTGGCTCAGGACAGGCATGTCCCACAGCTTGTGATCTAAGACTCTTGTCTGTCTTGTGTGGTGTGGTTTTGCTTGTCTAGTCAATTCTTGCTAATATCACGTGTTTTAAATAAATAAATAAATAAATAAGTACTTATGAAGGGTTGGTACGTTCACATCATTTATTTATGCCACGAGATCACGTGTTGAAAATAATAATAAAAAATTTATTGTAAAGGGATTGTACGTTCAAATTACTCATAAAAACACAAATATATATAAAATACATCAAATCATATAGTTGACGAGAAAGTAAGAGTTTCTTTTCTTAAGAAGTATTATAGCTCAGTGATAATAGTATTTATTTGCATATCAAAGATTTCAAATTTGAACTCATGACATCTTCCCTTCTAAGTTTCGACAAACATAAAAAAGTATGTATTTTATTTTTAACTAGAAAAATGAAATTTCTACCTAAAAAAACACGTGGATGGCCTTGAAACAGAAGGTCTGTGTGGCTACGGTGAGCACTGTACAGTCCCCCCCACAATTATTGAAACCCCATCGAAAGCTAATTCAGATCACCAAAAACATATTTCGGCAATAATTGCTCAGGGATTAGCGTAAAGTCAAATTCAAAATTTAAGAGTAATATTGACTGAAGTGAATGACTTTTAATTTGCTATCATTATTTACCTTGGCAAAATAGCCATAATTAGTAACTAATGCATATTTGGCTTCAATTTAATAAGTGTAATACAAGGGTTTTATTTTATTTTTATAAAATAAATATTTTTAGTATGGAATGAGTCTATAATAAAAGAAGCTTTATTTATTATTATTAATTTTTTTTATACAAGAATATTCTACTTTAATCTGATCTAAACTACGAGAAGAGATATTCGAACTTGGGTACAGAGTTTATTTTTATACGAATTTATAAATAAACCCAATCCTAAACATGTATTTATAAAAAAAACCCAAGCACTATTTAAACATAGAAACACACCCAAAATCAACCCCAAAGTCAACTTTTTGGGTGTGTTTATAAATGAATTTTGAGTGTGTGTAATGATGGGTTTTGGGTGTGTTTATATGTTTAAATAGTGCTTGGGTTTTTTTATAATTTCAACCCCCATTTTTGGTGTTTTAGTGAAAGTTCCTTATTTTTATATCCTGAAAGAAGTTTAATACTAAAAAAATTTGTTCCTGTAGAAACAAGGAAGGGGAGAGAGAGAGAGAGAGAAAGAGAGAGAGAGAGAGAAAGTAAATGATATGATTGACATAAGAGATCCATCCTATATATAATTATATGACTGACATTACAGGGCCATATAATAGAGTGAGTACGCTGAAGCAAGGTAGTGCTTTTTTGGTTTGACTCAGTTGAGCTACAGCTTCTTTTCCTTTTGTTTATTATTTCTCTTTCTTTTTGGTTAGCTTCTTTCTCATATCTATATGTCGGTGATCATGCACCCATTACTATTTATAGAATTTTATTAATGCATGCATTCGGGTTAACCTGCTTTCTTTTATATAACTGGAAATTATTCTTTTTTTGTTTTCAGAGTTTTCATTACAAAGATTCAGACATAAATCTGCATCCATGGCTACAGAAGTTGTTGGAGCAGAATGGTCGGGTCTAAGGTGGACTGCAATATTGCTTGTGACTGGTTTTCTTGTACTTGCTTCAGCACAAGGAACCAGCTTGGAGCAAGATGATGCTTCTTCAAGATACATTAATGGGACTCAAAAGTTTCAATCTGATAATGATCTATTTACCAGAGTGTTCAACTTTCTATGGCAACAAGGTCCAGGATTATGGAGTTATGAGCATGTTTGGCCTGTAAGTCTAATTTTCATTTCCCTTATCATATATTTTGAATTGTAAGTCCTATATTTTTCTTTACAGGAAAAGGTGTTTGTGGGTTATGATAAATTTATGAGTCTATGGAGCTTTTAAAAAAATATATATTTAAAGGCACTTTTTGCAGTGCTTTATTTATCAAAACATCATTTATCCAGCATATAATAAAGTCTATGTAAAGGAATTATTACAGATGAACATGATTGTGTATGCTGTAGCTAGTCTCTGTTTTACACTCACAAAATCTAACACAAACACATAAAAAGATTCTTCTTCTTTTTTCTTCTTTTTTTGGGGTGGTCTTAAGACCTACTCATATCCTCAAAGGGATAAGTAGGGGAATTCAACCCTCTTTGATAGCGAAGTTCAGCCCAAGAAAAATAACCGAACTCCAAAAAGATTCTTTCAAGCAGGCACAAACTTACAAGAAGATACTTTTTGTGGACTATGGTGGTTTCTGATAGGGGTGTCTGGATTTTTATCTGAATCTGATTTGATATAGCTCACTTTCAATTTAAAATTCAATTACGATCCGAATTCGATTCTAAAGCTTGAAAAACCATGATAATGGTTGTGGAAGAGCAGCAGAAGCCTAGATATATATAGTGCTTGCTAGAGCACCCTTGTTTAGTGCTTTAAAATAGTTCAAAATTTGCTTCTTTGTTTATGTTTTTATGTTTTTATGTTTTTGTTTTTGAGGGTGCAGTAAGTGTTCAAAACTTGACTTATTTATGACGTGGTGAAATTGGATATGCAGGAAATGAAATTGGGCTGGAAAATTGTGGTGGGTTCAGTAATTGGATTCTTTGGGGCTGCTTTTGGGACTGTTGGTGGAGTTGGTGGGGGTGGCATTTTTGTTCCAATGCTCACTCTGATTATTGGGTTTGATCAGAAATCATCAACAGCAATATCAAAGTGTAAGTCCTTTCTCACAGGTTTTGCCCTCTTTTACAGTTTTCAGCTGCAACAGAAGCCTCAAATTTTATTGCAGCGTTTATAAAATCCAATTAGGCACCCCGAAATATCATCCCAAGTCATGCTATTTGAGGTCTTGAGTGTTGATGCAATTATTCAACTTATGCATCAGTGTATACTTCTGGTTATGACCATTAGATAAAAAACTATACTTCTAGTTCTCTTTTCCCTTCTTACATTTTAATAGTAGCATTTGACTATTTGTCTCAGTGAAAAGCTTAAACTGTTAAGAAATGTGCCAAACAATATATATCAAGCTAATACCATCTCTCGCATGCAACTCGATCCTGCACGTGGAGAGACCGAAAAATGCAGACAGATAGAAACATATGGGTCCTTTTTGCTTTCACCGAATGAATCCATAAAAATGAACGCAATTTTGAATGCTTGTGCTGGTTGGTCAGGTATGATCACTGGTGCTGCATTTTCTTCTGTTGTCTACAATTTAAGGCTAAGGCATCCCACGCTTGAGCTGCCCCTCATCGATTATGACTTGGCGCTTCTTTTCCAACCAATGCTTGTGCTTGGGATCAGTATTGGAGTTGCTTTAAATGTGATATTGGCTGACTGGATGATTACTGTGTTGCTAATTATTACTTTCATAGGTAAGAGTTATTTGAAACGAAATCTTTTGTGCTTTTCTTGTTTCATCAATTGGACAACTTGTTTGAGTCGTATAGTGATGACATGCAGGCACATCAACTAGGGCATTCTTCAAGGGCGTTGAGACATGGAAGAAGGAAACTATAATGAAAGAGGTCACCTTAAGATGTGTTAGTTTGATTTGTAAATATGGCATAACTTAATCCATCCCCTGCATCTTGGCTCACTCTACTTTTCCAATTTTCAGGAGGCTGCTAGACGACAAATGCAGTCGAATGGTGAGTTGATCTCTCAATCTCTCTTTGCTAGCAATGGTTTTTCATCTTTTGAACCAGTCTAACATATAGAAATTTTTTCATTCAGGGGATCCTAGGGAAGAAGTTGAATACAAACCTCTACCTGGTGGCCCAAGCATTGACACTTCAACAGAAATCAGGGAACCTAAAAGAACAGAGGTACTAATCTTTGCAGTTTATATTTTCCATGAAGCATTTTAGAGGCTGACTTCTGTAACCTTCTCAGGTTCCTATCATTGAGAATCTTTACTGGAAGGAACTTCTAGTTCTTGTTGCTGTCTGGGTCATAATACTTGCATTGCAGATTTCTAAGGTATTTATCTACTATTTGGATGATTTTCTTTATAGGCTTATGATTTGGTACTTCCCTTTTTTGCTTTTATGCATTGAGTCAGACTGATGGGAAACTTGTTTGTTGTCACAGAATTATACCACAACTTGTTCAGCTGCATATTGGGCATTAAACCTCTTGCAGGTACCCTTCATGTCCCTTATCAGAAGAAAACATAAATCTTCACTTTCCATATTTCACGCTTCAAATACGACCCTCATTTGAGATTGAATTAATGAATTTTGGTTCAAAACCATGATGTTTTTCCTTGTTTTTCCTCAAATGAATTCTCAGATCCCTGTTGCTTTCTCAGTAACTACATATGAGGCAGTTAACCTGTACTTGGGACATAGAGTGATTACATCCAAGGGCGAATCGCACACAGATTGGAAAGTGCACCAGCTTGTTCTTTATAGTGCCTGTGGCATCGTAGCTGGTATAGTTGGTGGATTGCTTGGTCTTGGTGGAGGGTTCATTTTGGGTCCTGTTTTTCTGGAGCTGGGAATCCCACCTCAGGTGAATTTTGTACTTCTCTTTGATGTTAGTGAGTGGACTAATTGAGTTTGTGTTTATTGAATTTCCTTGCATATAATCCAGCATTTAATTATCCCATTAAGAACAGTCATCTTTAAGTGGTAATTATGCTATATACTTGTTTGTTTTCATGCCTGGCTCACTCTGTTTGAGAACTTTCATGCAGGTGTCAAGTGCCACAGCCACATTTGCCATGACATTTTCTGCCTCCATGTCTGTTATAGAGTACTACCTCCTACATCGTTTTCCAGTTCCTTACGGTAACCATCGTAGCCATTCAAGTTTCTGGTAAATTATAGAATGTTGAATGGTCGGAAGATAAAACTTATTCCAATAATTTGAAGTTGGCTTTAGTCAGTGTTATTTGATTTGTCTTGCAGCTCTCTACCTTGCTGCTGTAGCCACCCTTTCTGCCGTTGTAGGGCAACATGTAGTGAGAAAGGTGGTCATGATTTTAGGGAGAGCATCTATAATTATCTTCATTCTGGCCTTCACAATCTTTGTGAGTGCAATATCATTAGGTATGTTTTCATTCATACATTATGTTAGTGATCATTTCCTGCCCATGAAATGGATTAGGGTATCTTTTTATTTTCCTCCATACGATTAATGGATGCTTAATGTGTTTTTAAACAGGTGGGGTTGGAATAGCAGATACGGTTGAAAAGATTGAGCACAAAGAGTACATGGGATTTGAAAACATCTGCACTTATGATGCCTAGTTTCAGCGACTTTCTGCTTCCACTTCCACCATCGCAAACTCCTTACCCTACCCTAAGCTTCAAGATTCCTCTGATTTGACAACAAAAGTTGGATCCTTTTTTGGACCAACTAAGCTGGCCCTACAAGTTATCACTAGCATGAGAGGGAAGAGAAACGAACTGTCCTGAAATTCTTGAGCACCAATTCGGCTTGTACCTTTTGAGATTTGGAAAATAAATTTTATCAGTTGCTTTCCTAATGATTTATGAGATTTTATTATAATTTCCTTTCTTATAATAAAATAAATGGAAATTAGGGTATCTTTATATAAAATTTGAAGGATGATAAGGGCTAAAAACCTGAACAGGATATAGAATTTGAACCATCAAAAGCAACCTATACAAAATCAGCCAAAGTTGCTTTTGGCTTCCTATGGACAAAGATTTATCCTTCACGTTATGCACACAATGGACAAAACAGCTTCCCTTAATTATTTTCTACCTTATATCTCTATCACATCAAGCAAATATGAACGGGTTAGCTTTTTCTTGGTGCCTTTGACTAAATTTGGATTTTGTTTAAAGCAGTCTGTTGGACCACTAAGAAAATTAACAATGAGAACACATGAAAAATTGCATGCCGTATTCCAAGTAAGTTTCCATTAATTTGGTGACACTCTAATCATTTCAACAAAATTGGAGTGGGGAGTTTTTATGTACTTCCATTGATTGGTACAATTGAATCTCTCTTTTTTTGGAGGCAGCGCTTAGACAATTTGAAATAAAGACAACAAAAGGCGGAGCAATATTTGACATGTTAAAAGTATGATGTTAACATGTTATGTTTTCAAATTGTAAATCGATGTCATATCTGATAAGCGTTTAGATCAAATCCTTATCAAGATCTGATTGTAAAAAAATCCAGCTACATTTGGGTCTCGAGTTGTGCATGACATTGGGATGGCCTAGACATGGCCCAAGCCAAATTGGGATGGGTCAAGCCCATCTACAGTCTTGATACATTTTGTCTGGTCTCGCATTTATCACACAATACAATACGTTATGTGGCATTTATCTTGTGGTTGTGACACTTGAGAATGATATTTGCTTTTTCTCATGGGTATCTAAAGTCCAATTGATGAAGATTTTTCAAACAAACCAAGATTTGTGTTTCTTGTTCCCATTCTGTTGTCTTAACCTTGTACTATAATGACATGAGAATGAAAATAACACCGAGCATTGAATTTGAGAGAAATATCATTAGACCAAAAGGTGGTTAGTTCACACTTAGAATTCTTAAAATAAAAAGGCTCGTGGAAGCAAAGTGACCAAAATTTGCAGCTTTCAATTTACCTTTTGTTTTATGGAATCCCCTTTTTTCTTTTTTTTCTTTTTTTTTTTAACACTGACGGTAATAATTTACCAGAATTTTGGTGATGTGAACCAACTTGATGTGATGGGATGCTTGGAAGCAAGGAGAAGTCGGCCACTAAATTAAATGCATTTAACATCATGTTCTTCCATCTCCTTCACCTTTTGCAAATGATAACTTCTAGCTAGATAAAAATAAATAAATAAACGCCAAAACACAAGCAATTAAACACAGAACAATTAAGTTTCCCGTCCACCAAAACTACAAGAATATATAAATTAAAATAAAAGTTCTAACCAAAACTATAGCCAGTGAAGACTACCAGAAACGGTGTACACAAAGAAACAAGAAAAAAATGTGGATGCATCACAGATATTGGTCAGTTGGTGTCTGCATAATGCTAGGCTAAGTGGGTTTCTACAACATCAAGGTTAAAGTAATTTGATTCTTCATTTCATAATTTTTTTACATAGTCTTTTTTGTTGCTACTTTTTTTTTCTTCCTCTGATTTCATCAGAAAAAAATTTATCATGGCATGGGAAGCAGACAGGCAACTGGTAAGTTGAAAGTGGACGGGGTGTGTGTGTGAATTAGCAGACCTCAAGCTTGTTTTCATGCATGAAATTCTTGCATGCAATCTGAACTTGAAATGTCTTCTTGGCTGGGAGTTTGAGAGAGACTAGTCCACGGCTGGGCTACCACTATACTTTTGACAAAGAAAGTACCACTTTTGTGTACAGTTACAAGGAAAAATTCTGAACACAAGAATAGATTCCAAAATTGACTGCTTATGTCTAGAGATTAGTATTCCTCTTAACAGTACTTTGAAATTCTGCAGAACTTGGTAGAAGAACATGGTTTTGGTTTCAACCATGAGTATTTGTTAGAATAAATGTTCTGTTTCGATTGTTGGGTTTGAGGAGGAAGTTCTGAGGTATCCGATGGCGTCTCGGAGCGGATCAAATTGGTGGAGTCTGAGGTTGCTTGGAATGGTTTACCTTGTTTTAGCTTTAGTATTTGTTTCAGCACAAGAAATTTTGGAGCAGCAACCTTCAAGTCAGACTCTTGGGGAAGAGGTTGAATCTAATGACTTAATCCGAGCGTCCAAATTTCTTTCGCATCCCGATGGAGTGGTTTATAAGCATGTCTGGCCTGTAAGTCCAATTTCCATTAACTTTGTCAGATATATATTTTTTTGGTGATTCTAGACTAATTGTGTGAAGCTGAACTGTTTGGCTGGTGAGAAAATGTTGCTTAAGAATGATTATGTAAAAAGTTTAGCCTATATATTTATGTATACGGTTTTACTTCTCAATTTCCATTCCCTATTGTTCCCTCCGACCTTCCTCTGTTTTATCATCAAAGAAACAACTTCTCTGTTACCAATAGGCCAAAAAGCATGGACTCATTTGTTTTTCTCTTCTTAATAATAGATTTTAGAAGGTCTGGCACTCTAGATAGCTCTTACTGAGAAATGTTGTGGTGCATTATTCATTGAAATTGGGTCACAGGGAATGAGGTTTGGCTGGAAAATTGCCATTGGAACGATAATTGGATTCCTGGGGGCAGCATTTGGGAGTGTAGGAGGTGTTGGTGGGGGTGGCTTTTTTGTTCCAATGCTCACCTTGATTATTGGCTTTGATCAGAAATCATCAACAGCAATATCAAAATGTAAGTACTTTCATCACAGCTTTTTCCCTTTTCACCTTCTGAAGAAGCCACCTCTTCTGAACTCAAATACATTAGTTTTATAAAATTCCAAAGAATTATAATAATAAGCAGGAAAATTGATTTTGTATGTTTCTGTGTGGTTGTTCAGGTATGATCACAAGTGGAGCAGCTGCAACTGTCTTCTACAATTTAAGGCTCAGGCATCCGACACTCGAGTTGCCCCTCATTGACTATGATCTTGCACTTCTGTTCCAACCAATGTTGGTGCTGGGGATCAGTATAGGAGTTTCTTTGAATGTTCTTCTTTCTGAATGGATGATCACAATCTTACTCATTATTGTTCTCTTAGGTAACACTTTTCTAAACTGCATCCCTCCCTGTTCACACTTGGACAACTTAATTATGTATATCTGCAGGCACATCAACTAAGTCGTTCTTAAGAGGCATTGAGACGTGGAAGAAAGAAACCATCACGAAAAAGGTAGTTTTAAAATTTGCTTGTTTTCTAGGCTGATTGTATGTTCTGCATCATGTTGTCCATCTAATACTGCACCTTGTTTCATTTCTTCAGAATTTGCTGGATGCTTCCAAAAGTTTGCAATCAAAAGGTGAGTTGGTCACTCATTTCTTCACTTTCTGGTACACGTCTGTCATCTATAGGTTTTTCCAGGCTAACATGCTCCTTTACTAGGTGCCGGCAGTGAAGACATAACTATCCCTGGAGGAGTAGGCAACGACACGACTGAAACCAAGGAAACTAAAAGAAAGAAGGTTAGAATTTTCAAACTAAACTCTATGCATGGTTTTAGGGACTGACTTCTTCTGTGACCTTCCCAGGTTTCTATTCTTCACAATGTTCGCTGGAGGCAACTTGGGGTCATAGTTATTGTCTGGATCATAATACTTGCATTGCAGATTGCTAAGGTTTCAATCAAGTACATATGATGTTGATTTTCCTTGATAGCTTATTTATTTGGAATTTCCCTAAGAAGTCAGATTAATAAGAAACTCATTTTTGCTGGCACAGAATTACTCGACGAAATGTTCAGTGGTATATTGGATATTAAATCTCTTGCAGGTACCTTCCATGCTGCTTGTATCAGGAAAGCTATCTTCCTTGTGGCTGGAAATGATGATTGCGAAATAAGAACCTAACCATATGGGAACTTTTTCTTTTTGTTCAGATTCCGGTGACCGTGGGGATAACTTCATATGAGGCAGTTAAGCTATACAAGGGGAGCAGAATAATTGAATCCAAGGGAGAAGGTGGTGCAAACTGGAGAGTGCACAAGCTTGTTTCTTATTGTGTCCTTGGCATAGTAGCTGGAATACTTGGTGGGTTGCTTGGTCTTGGTGGAGGGTTTATTATGGGCCCAGTCTTTTTGGAGATGGGAATTCCTCCTCAGGTACATTTCATGCTTCAACATTTGATAAGTTCTGCAGTTGAGTTTGTTTCCTTTGAAAGTTAAATTTTTTTTTATTAATTACAGTACAATTCACATTGTTTTCATTTCCATTTTTGCACCCCTCAAAGGGGAAACGCTATCCATCATAAACTTTCTAGGAAATTACTGGACGCCTTTAAATCCTCCTTACATTTGCAGGTTTCAAGTGCCACAGCCACATTTATCATGACATTCTCTTCATCCATGTCTGTGGTAGAATACTACCTCCTAAAACGGTTTCCAATTCCATATGGTAAATTTCTTAACCATTCAAGTTTCTGTGTCAATAAGTCTAGAAGATGATTTCTATCTTCAACTAAGTCATAAATGTTGGCTTTTATTTCATTGTGATTCTTCTGCAGCTCTCTACTTCGCTGCTGTTGCTACCGTTTCCGCGATCATGGGGCAATATTTAGTAGGAAAGGTGATCAAAGCATTAGGAAGAGCATCCTTGATCATCTTCATTCTGGCTTTAACAATATTTGTGAGTGCATTGACATTAGGTATGTGTCATTTTAACATATGTGTCCAGATCAAGATATGGATTTTCTGTTTTACATAGCTTTTGTTTGTGAACAGGTGGGGTTGGCATAGCAAACATGGTGAAAAAGATTGAGCACAAAGAATCCCTGGGGTTTGAGAAAATGTGCACTCAGAAATCCTAATCTTGTTAACTCTTCTCTTGACTTCCTTAACTCCCAGACCATCAAAATTCTTCACACTTCAAATCATGTTGCAATGATCATATGATTTTAAGTGTGCCAACGGTAATGCTGAAGTCAAACTTCAATTTTCTGCTTTGCATTTGTTTATTATTTTTAAAATTGTTGGATATACTTGCTATTCAGATGCATAAACTTGTATTGACACAATTCTAGATATGGATGCATTTGACAAGGACAAGGTGAGGATGAAATTGACAAGTATTTGAATCACCGCATCACTACCTACAAGATACTGCTAATAAAAATCAGCCTATTCGTTCATGCCAAATTTGTAGCTCAAGTTGTTAAAAGAAGCTACTCTTCCACCGAGTTTTTGGGTTTGAATACCCTTCCCAATATCGCTTGTATATTATTAAAAAAAAAAAAAAAAAAAAGTAAAAGTAGGTGGTGAATTTTTTTATTCAACAAATGGCGACTGAAAAAACCTTTTGCTAGTTTAAGTATCAAATTACGTAGACATAGGGTCTAGTCCAATAAAAAAATGCCTTGATTTGTGGACAAGTAGTTTCAAATTCGAAACCTTATGGCACCGTGGTAGAGTGTGTGTATGTGTGAGAAATCTTCCTCTCCTTATAATTTAGACTATCACTTGTATTTTAAAAAAATATCAAATCACGCAATGTAAACTAAACTAATAATATGAACTTTATGTTTCTAGACAAAAAAATACATATAGATGAACTTTATGCAAGGGGCTTATACCTCAAGTTGTCAAAAGTATTTACTCATGCACTTGAGGTACTAAGTTTGATTCTCACCTCATCCAATATCGCTGATTTTAAAAATAAAATAAAAAACTTATGAAAATGAATAAAATTAGCCAAAAGAATCAGTCGCTGGGCATCCTTTCCTCCCCTTTCAACATTGACCATTATAGAACTACAAGCAATTGTGGTAGATAACAAAGGTTGTCATAAGCATTGCTAAATTCCCAGGCTGATTTTATATTTTTAGTGGAAGATAATACTACTCTAATATTTATTTTTATTTTTTCCTTAGAAAGAGGTTTATCGACCTCATATACTAATTTGCTTGGTGATTGAGAAGATAAATAGGAAAAAATATGTGAATCTCAAAAAGTTAGTGGTGGATAAAGGGATAGGGTTAATGAGGAGGTGGATTGAGACATCTTTGGTGATGCCAACTTTTGCTGACTCACTCTTCAGTCAATCCAGGACATTCCATTCATATGCCACGTAGGTCTCACATTTTTGTGTTTTAAAGTTATTTTAAGGGTATTTTCAGACAATATATCCTAATCCTAGGATAAAACCAAAACCAAAACTACATTGAAAAACATTGACAAATTCGTACTTAATTGTTAAAATTGAGTGCTAAATTGAAATTAATTTATCTTATGAGTACAACTGGAGAGTACTAAATTGAAATTAATCCATCTTTTTAATATTGGAAACAATTCTAATTCCAAACTAGTAGGGAATAAAGAAGGCTAAACTAAAAATAAATAAAAACAAAACTGATAAGAACATCCACAAAACAAAAATAGTTTAGGCTAAACTAAGACAAGGCCCCTCTGGACCAAAATCATTTTCCTGTTTTGGGTCCTTCTTTCTTCCCTTTGAGCCAGAAAATGTCAGATAGGAAATTAATTCCAGAAACCAACAGTAAAAAAAGATTCCAAAAAAAAAAAGAGGTAGCTAAAAGCTATATCACATTGCTTGCATAGAAAATCATTACAAAGCACTTGATCACAAAATAAAAGTCCATACCTAGCATAGCCTAGCCTAAACATCACCATTGCAAAACCAACCCTGTTCAGGAAAACCAGAAAAACCCAAAAAAAGGGAAACAAAAAAGCAAACTGTACAGCCTTTCTGAATCTCCAACTTTTTTTCTTTTCTGCCAAACACTGCGTTAGCCTTTGGGTAAGGAGGAAGGAGAAGAAGCCCCTTTGAAGATGAGAAAGCTGAGACTCTCAAGTGTAAAGTAGATGAAGGTTCCTTTTGAATGAGTGAAGAAACACCCAAAGTTTGAGCCCACCACACATTGCCAACCGCCTCCATATCTCATGTCAAACTCCTGAAAAAAAATAATTAAAAAAATAAATCCATCAATTAGCCACAGAAAGAAAACAGAGGAAATTCTTCAATTATGTTAGTTTAGACAAAGTGGCAGAGAAAGTTTGTACCTTTTTTATGTGGGCGGCTATGGATCTGCAATCAAAGACGTCATAAAGATCCAGAGCTTGAGAAGCAGCAGCCATGGCCTGCATCTGCATCTTCACTGGCATGTCTGTGTCCTCCACGAAAGCTTTGCCTTCCAACATCTTTTCTTCTCTCTGGCTCTCTCTCTCTCTCTCTCTCTCTCTCTCTGTTTTTGTCCCCAGAGAAGAAAACCCAGTTGGGATTTTGTAGGATTTGGTAGTTCTTATCTTCAAGGAGGAAATGATTCTCTCTTGATTTTAATATGAATTTTCAGAGTGTGGTGATCAGAAATAGAAGAGGGAAAAAATGGCACATGTTGCTGGAGGAAGTAGACAGAGATAAACACACGGCAGATTTTGCTGAAGCCCAAAGGCAATTCCAACCTGGCACGTACTCCAATAAATATTGTTTTTCTCAGTCTTTTCTCCTCACTTTATGGACTTTCTTTAACTTTATTCTATTTTTTAATTATATAACCAGTACGGCTCTTGCCACGTTATGGACCATTTTAGTTTTTTTTTAGTTTTGCTTTTTGGGTATGGATAAGGTTGGAGGTTTGTGTATTGCTATTTGTATCATCTCAGTCTGACACTTTAATATTTTGAGGTTTACGGATGATCCTAAATCAAGGTGAGACTTACTCATGTTTGTGAATTTCATCACACATTTCCAAGATATTTGCTCAAGAAATTGAAGTGATGTGTACTCATGTTTGTGCATCTCATCTTATCATGTTTTCAAAAATTTCTGTTTTGACTTTTCCGATTGGAGTATTGAACTTGAAATATCTACCAACATTATGTTAATCAGTGGCGGAGCCACTCCTAGACCTGGAGTGGCCCTGGCCCCCCCATATTTTTACCACTCTTCTATTATATTATATATAATATATAGAATTTGTAATAAACAACTTAGAATTGAAGTTAAAATGTCATCTAAAACAAATTAGATATGACTTAATTAGAAATATTTAGCTCTAAACATGTAAGTATTGAATATTTAAGTGTTTTATATACTTATATTTTCTATTTCGGCCCCCCTAACTTTACAATTCTAGCTCCGCCCCTGATTATGAGGTAAGTTATCAGTAAAATCATTAACGGGCTTGATTCTAAATACTTTTCAATTTACTTACATGGTCCCAAAACCCTATTAAACATTTCCCCTCTTTATTTTTTGGTTTTTGATATAAGCAATCTAAATTAGGGAAGAGCGATTCAAACTCAATGCAGAATGAGGAGTATAACCGCTCTAAGTCCATATCTGCAAACATTTCCCCTATTAATACTGTCAATAATAAGATAGATCAATTTAACAAGATTCATGCTTGGACTTTTTTCTTTTCTGAAAATAAATAAGCTACATTATTTTTACAATTCCTTATTGACCTTTTTCAAATCGAATTCCATGATATATTTCCTTGATACCCTGATTTTGTTGCACAGTCTATTTACTTGGCATTGACGTCTCTCTTATTTCAATTTTTATATGCAGAGAATCACCCATAGTTGATTATGTGAATCGAGTCACTAACTTGCAATTTGCTCTCTCTTTACACCATCGAATCATTATATAGTTTGAGAATATATGTTGATGATATTTCACGTATATGGGGTGTTGATGTTGACATTTTTGTCATGGGGATTTTTAGGAGGTGATTTGATTTGATTCGAATATCATGTCGTTCGGCCTTGAAATATTTACAAGTCATGAAGGCGTTTATTATTATGATTTTCAATTGGAAGTTTTTGCTAAAATATGAGAAACTTAGAGAAAATATTTGTTTGTGAGAATTTTTTGTGTATTCTTCTCCTTGTAGGCGGTCATATTTATAATACAATAGATCCTTAGTGGCCAAGTAAAATAATAAATTCTTATTTCTATTTACAGTAGGAAATTAGGAATTAAAGTAAATAAATTATAATTAATATGGGAATTCTTGGTAAGCAAGGAAAGTCAATGGTCCACAAGTTACTCCAATACTCCATCTCACGTTGGTGCATAGATGTTGCTAATGCCCAACTGGTCCAATGAATTGTGGAATGCTCTACTGGAAATTGCCTTTGTTAAAATATCCACCAATTGATCCTCGGACTTCACGAAAGGAAACTGAATCACTTTAGCCTCAAGCTTCTGTTTGATGAAGTGTCAATCCACCACAACATGTTTGATGCAATTATGTTGAACCGGATTTTGTGCAATAGCGATTGCAGCCTTGTTGTCACAAAAAAGATTCATTGCGGATGTAGGTTCATACCCAAGTTTAGTAAGCAACTTCTTTAATCAAATGAGCTCACAAATTCCTTTAGTCCTACCTCTAAACTCGGCTTCTGCACTAGCCTTCTGTTTCTTGCTCCTCCATGTCACAAAATTACCTCTCACGAATATGAAGTAACCAGATATGGATCTTCTGTTTGTTACATTGCCTACCAAATCTCCATCTAAACACCCATCAATATTAAGATGACCATGTTCTGAGAACATAAGTCCTTTTCCTGGTGAACACTTCAAATATCTAAGTATCCAAAGAATTGCATTCATGTGGTCTTCACTTAGAGAATGCATATATTGACTGACGACGCTCACCACATAAGCAATATATGGTCAAGTATGTGACAAATATATCAATCTTCCCACTAACCTTTGGTATCTTTCTTTGTTAGTTGGAACTTAATCTGGGTATTCTCCAAGATGATGATTCTGAACAACAGAAGAGTCCACAGGTTTGCTGTCTAGCATTCTTGTGACTGTCAACAAGTCCAAGACATATTTCATTTGAGAGAGAAATATGCATTGCTTTGATCGAGCCATCTCAATTCCCAAGAAATACTTGAGTCCACTTAGATTCTTCATTTCAAATTCAGTAGTTAGACTTGTAGCTATGATATTTCATGTTTATCATTCCCAGTAATAATCATGTCGTCAACATAGATTATTAAACCAGTTACCTTCCCTTTTTGATGTTTCAAGAACATAGTATGATTTGAGTTACTCTGTCTAAAACCATTGTTCTTCATCGCCATGGTTAACCGTCCAAACCATGCGTGCAGTGACTGTTTCAATACATACAATTCCTTTCGTAATTTGCATACTGTTCCAATCTTAGTTGTATTATATCAAGGAGGAATGCTCATATACACCTTCTCTGTGAGTTCTCCATGCAAGAAAGCATTCTTTACATAAAACTGGTGTAGTGACCAATCCAAATTAAGACTCTGATTGTGTTTAACTTTGCTACTTGAGCAAAGGTTTCTTCATAGTTTTTATCGTAGGTTTGTGTGTATCATTTGGCCACAAGCCTTACCTTGTATCGCTTGATAGATCCATCACCATTGGGTTTAATAGTAAACACCCATCTACATTCGACGGTCATTTTCCCTTGTGGTAAAGTTTTCAGTCTCCAAGGCTAATTTTTCTCAAGAGCTTTCGTCTCTTCTTTTATAGCTTGAACCCACTTAGGGTCTTTCAATGCTTCAGCAACCTTGGTTGGGATACGAATAGCAGACAACCGATGCACAAAGCCTTGAGTGGTTTAGACAGTTTCTCAGTGGATACATGATTCACAATTGAATACTTTGATGTCTTGCCAATATCTGGTGAATAATGATTTGGTGGCTTCCCATGATTCTACCGAAAAGGTAATTGATATCCAATATATTTATCCAATAAATTCACAAGTGTAGTAGGAGTAGTTACCTCAAAGATATTATCAGGAGATTGGTCCGTTGGTACTGTTGAGTGAGAGGGATGGTCTTCAACTTGTTGCTATAGGTTGTTTCTAGGAGTGAGACTTAAATCAAAAGAAGATTTGCATAAATCATACGGAATGAACGATTGATCGGTTTGCGGCATAGAAGAACATTATGCTTCATGCTCGGGGCGATCAATCGTCGGTGTTGGACGAGAGATTGTTTCTTGGTAGAGAGAATACCCATGCTCCAAACCTTGTGGCGATCAATCGTTAAAGGTAAGACGATTGATCGCTTTTGTGCAGACGCAAATTTCTTCTTTTTCCAAGTTGCTCCAATTCTGCTCTTCACTCCGTATCTCCTCCTGAAGTATATAATTGGAGCGGGATCTTGCAAGAACGTCACAGATTCTAGAAAGGTTATATCTAAAGTGACATATGTCTGTCGGGTCGGAGGGTGATAACACCAATAACCTTTCTTATGAGTGACAAATCCACACACACAAAAAAAAAAAAAAAAAAAAAAAACGAATGATGCATTGATCAAGCTTGCTACGTTGTTTTTTGTAAAGATGAACAAAGGCCACACATCCAAAGATTCAGGGTGTGAGCACCAAAATAGGGGCAGTGCCCGTGTTGCGAGAACACTTGTAAGGGAGTACGAAAGTTTAGGACCACAGATGGCATGCAGATGATCAAGTGAACGGCAGTGATGATAACAACATCCAGTGATGACGAGGAACATGAGCACTAATCCGAAGTGCTTAGGTTATTTCCATAAGATGTGGATTCTTTTGTTTAGCAACACCATTTTATTGTGGTGTGTGAAGACAAGTCGTCTCATGGATAATTCCATGTTGGAAGTAAGTCTGAAAGTCATGATTGACAAATTCTCCACCATTGTCTGAGTGAAGAATCTATATTTTAGCATTGAACTAAGTTTGCATTTGTTTGTGGAAGAATTGAAATAGTAAAAACACTTCATTTTTATTCTTCATCAAATACAGCTATGTCATATGTGTACAATCATCTACAAATTTGACAAACCATTGAATGCCTGAAGAAGTAGTGATAGGTGAGGGTCTTCTGACATCACAATGAATTAACGTAAACGGAGTAGTATACTTGCTCGTACTCAACGGATAGGGCACATGGTGACTCTCGGTCATAATACATGTTTCACATTTGAAGTCGTAGTCTTTAAAATATGAGAATAAATCCGATAGAATATGTTTCATATAACTAAAAGACAAACATACCAATCGGCAGTGCCACAACCAGATTTGCTTTTGTTTGCTATCAGAAGGATGCGTCACATTGTTAGCCATATGTAGGAGTCTTTTTCGTTCCAGCAGCCGACGAATGGGTTGGGCTGCCGTAATGAGCAAACTGATGAAATTACCCCCTGTGTCTGAGTTCGAAGATCAGACCCCAAGAATACTACGAAAGTGTAGCGGAGCCTTAGGAAGCACCTTGGTTATCTTCAAAAACAAAAAAGACAATTGCTTACAGGTAGATTCTTAGCTTGGCATAAGAAGTTTGTGGCATGGGAGCAAAACCATCATGAGTTTAGCATAAACAAAGAGAATGCTGTGAATTCCTATGAGAAACAGGGGTTTTAAGACAAGAGGGAATAGATTCTAAGAAGGTTTGTTGAAGAGTGAGAGAGATGGAGATATGATGGGTGTGTTGAGCAGTTTCCGGCAGCTTGACGAAAAGTCTGTCAAGCTCTGGAATGATTTAGTAGAAGAGAAAATGGGAGGAAATTGAGGAATATGGCAAGAAATTGCAAAGGTTTCAAATATGAGAGATGAAGCTTGCTCTCTAAATGTGTGTTGTAGCTAGT